AGGAAAGAGAGAGAGAGACCACAAGTTTGTATGGAACTTCTGTCCCTCGTTAGCTCCCATTGTCCTGCTTGTTTCAGTTCATAATCCCTGCAGGTGTTTACAATTTCCGGAGCCGGGACAATGGGATTGCCTGTGAGAACCTCAAGTCGGTCACTACAGACGTAAGTGGGCATCCCATGAAACTTTCAGTCGTTAAGGAACTTTTAATAGCGTTATAGTGAATGTCAGTAATTAATTTAAAATTAGTTTGTATCCTTGTGAATGCAGAAATGAGAACCGTAAGAAGTTTATTAATTTAATAGATATTATCAAAGTTTTTTGTTCATATATTACAAGTACACACAATTCAAATATTCAAGAGCAACATCAAATATTCAAATTCNATTCAAATTCAAATACGTTCTTTCCAAATTCTGTTGCCGTTACTTTGACCTAGACTTAGGTTGGAGGATAATATTAAAATGGATCTTAGAGCGATAGGATGGGATGGTATGGACTGGATTAAACTGGCTCAGGATAGGGACCAATAAGGGCTCTTGTGAATACTAAAATTAAACTTCAAGTTTCATAAGATGTTGGGAAATTCTTGAGTAGCCCACCTTAGTCGCCGGAAATATCACCCAGTGACTGCTTTCTGATACCAGAAATTAAAAACGGATTGTATAAAGAAAAAGGGGTATCTGGAAGTGCTACGGGATCATCCAAAGAGAGACATGAAACTGAACCTGACATTTTACACTATTATTATTATTATTATTATTGGAGGGTGTGGGTTTTCCCATGCACCGCGACCAGTTTGATCTATTGTACGTCCCCCTTTGATATTCTACCAGTCTCTATGTTCTACCGTTACTGGTGCGTGCCATCAGCCCCGACTCAGCCAGCGAGTTCGGCCTCTACTGGCTCAGTGGCTATTCTATGGACACACGTGATTTACAGGTGCGAACTTAACGTTTTTAGGAACATATTCATTTCACAGATATTTCGATATTGCCTTTTACATCTATATTTAATTTTTAACAATTTTTTTTAATGACGAAATCAGTATCTCAGAATAAAGACACCTAGTGTGCATAGTAGGGCGATTATTGTGTAATGAGTTGGAAATTGTATGGAAGGAACTTATCATGCCCCAATATAAGACACTGTTTCGTCATTTACGTAAGGGAACTAAAGAAACCCGCAAAAAATTATCTCACTGAGAATAATCGGTGTCAGGCCTGAGATTTGAGCCGAGTATCTCCCGAGCACAAGCCAGAAGCTTTACCGCTGACCTGACTTGCTCGGTTCATATTCTGGTGCATATGAGAACGTAGGTTCTTATATTTTTTAATATATTTTGTGCCCCTGTTGCCTCATGATATAATTCGTCACATAACGTCCATTAAAATGTCCTTATTTAGTAAATAACACTACAAACGTGATAAATGCGAATATTTTTATATCAGTCGAAGTCGAATAAAAGGGCTACCTATTAACTTTATAGTCTAATATGTGTTTTAGTTGTTAGATACACCAATATACAGCGTTAATATAAAATAAATAGACACTTTCAATGTTTTATACTAACCAAAATATTACTGATATAGCCAAAGTACTTACATGGAATTTAGTATACAGGGTGATTCACGACTTTAGGTCATAACTGCCGGAGTTGATTTCCTACGTCTTTGTAATCAAAAACGTTCATATAAATATGTGTCCGATTTTGGACGGTTACGGAGTTATGACCGCTTTTAAATTCCCGTTCACGCCCTCGTTTGAACCGCGTCTCTCATCTGGCGGGTCGCTCTTTTTAGCCAGCTACAGACAGAGCGTTCTCGTTATCTCGACACTTGAGAGGTACCTACGGCGCAGTGGGTTGGTATGT